AAAAAGATTTTACAAATGCACCTCATTTGACGCAGATTTACACTCGAACCAAACCATTTTTCTATTTTTTTCCCTTTTCGGTTATTTCTGTCCATGATTGAATAGAAAAAAAAAAAACTACAAATACTCCAAGATTTTTTTGACTTCATTAAAAAATAAAATCGTTTTTGTAGGATGGAAACTTTTTGAGGTCAAAACCCCCCACTTCCTAACTAAAGGAAATAAGTTTTTTATCCGACATCGATCTTTTGACGTCGTCCCTAAGGCAACTATTTTCTCAATTTAGAATGCAGGTGTCTGGTTCTAGTTGACGTCAGGATAGCACATCCAAGGTATCTTAGCAGTTGTTGCGTCAGACCCAAATCCTATGCCATATAGATAATGTCATGTAGACACAATTACAATTTGTAACAAGGTGCGGGGTTACAGGCAATTTATTTTTAAATAAAAAAACACTTTTTGCAAAGGATGGCATACTTGGATTTCAAACTGTTATTTAGTATGACCTCAATAAACAAGCCTTCAGTTTATTTTTGGAGTTTTAGTAAAAACAACCTGGTTTTAGAAATGGCAGACTGGTTCCTTTAGAGTAAGTAGTCAGCTGAATAGACATCTCTGATATTGTTCATTTACTGGTTTAGTTTAAACGATATGTCTTTTCACTACTTTACTTTTTAATTTTTTAAAAATGCTGGTTACTTGACGCTATCTGTAAAATAGCCCTGCTTTTCATGTTTTTACACTGTCAGCTATGAGGAGTTTAAAAGGGGAATCATCTTGTACCCTCTGCATGTGATATACAGGGATGAGAATTTTCCAGATTTTCTGAAACATCTAAATCCAAGGAGTAAAATTTTAGGGGGGAGGGGTAAGAATACAAATCTTGTTTATTCACCGGAAGTAAACACGCTGTCCGGTCATTGTTGTGGGCTGCAAGAAGTCTGTATCAGTGTATGGTCAAAAGGAGACAACTCACGGTGTCTCCAATGTGGCATATTCGCGACTTTTTAGTGCAATTGTAAAATCCGAATTGGTTTCCAAGTCTTCGAAGTAATATATAATGATTAACATGATTGGCTGGTTTTGCTCTGAGTGAGCTGCCCTGTTGCCCAGCAGAACCATTGGCTTGGACGTAGACTCGGAAGTCGTTAACGATGTCAGCTTGGACGCCGGCTACTTTACTTTCAGCTGAAAATTAAAATTCTCATTCTCATCCCTGGATATAGCAGTGATGTAAAAATCAGCCTAAAGCCAGTCAAGACAATCACTTATTTTAAATAAAATATCAGCAAAATTATTTATACATGCTGAAAAACAGAAATTTTTTGGGGGATCAACTTCATTTCCATTTTTTCTTTTACTTGGAAACAAAAACACATCTTATAGACTTAAATATAGAAATTATATTTACAACTTCTATTTTTTGTTTTAGAATTAAATAAAAAGAGAAGAAGAGGACATTTTACAGCAGTTGGTCCCAAACAGTTGTTTATTGCCTGTGAAAATATTTGTAAAGATAAAGGTGAGTTGCTGCAATGATTTCTTTGCTTATATCATGTTTGGTATTTGACCTGGCCTGGATAACACCATAATAGTGTATCATCTCATTTCCTTATATGTAATATCACACCCTGTCACATCTTCAATTTCTGATGAAGTGCATTTTTATAGATTCGTATTTTTGCTGGTATTTTTGGCTTTTTATGTCTTCCAACTTCAATTTGAAGTGTGACATTACTTTGATGTCTTCTCTATTATGTAATAAATGCAGATAGGGTGACGTATTGATATACTTTTTAAGGAGGCTGTAAGTTCTGAGCTTAGAATCTGTTCTATTAATGTCACTAATCCTTGAATCTGTGTAGTACGTGGTTCTTAGTTTTCTGTAAGAATGACTTTTTTGATATGGTAATGGGATTTATATTGTAAATGTCCCTAATTTTGTGTATGCCTTCAATCCATGAGTCTTTACATGTAATATCTTTTGTATTTGACTTGGCATGGATGACACAACATAATACCATTATTATATACTTTTCCTATCAGTCACACACTTTTACAGACAAAGCATTCAAATTATGATGTTGTATAGTATATTGTATTGTTATTTACAGTTGATTTAAGTAGTTGGAAAAATAAAATAGAAGCAGAAATAGAAGGTGAAGATAGTATCTACGAACACATCGCGTTGAATCATGATGATGCTGTTCCCGATGCATCGTATGAAGAACATGTTCAGTTCAAAGAAGGAATGTTAACAATAGGATGTGTGGGTACGTAATAAAAGTGGTGTTGTTTTGCTCCTTGTCAACATGTTGCTGAAATTCTTTGTCTGCATTTTTAGTCCCCGTCTGGATGCAGTCTGAAAACATATATTTGAATATTAACGGTGAGCATTTACTTCATCATTTAGGTCATCCAAATGTTGGCAAGTCATCACTAATGAATGGTTTAGTAGGAAAAAAAGTAGTGAGTGCCTCGCGGACACCAGGACATACAAAACATTTCCAGACTATCTTTCTAACACACTCTGTTAAACTCTGTGATTCACCAGGACTTATCTTTCCAGCAATAGTAGATAAACAGTTACAGGTTGGTATATGTAATCAGACCTTCACTGGTTAATATAGTTAGTAATTTATTGTCTTGTACTGTTAAACTCAGTGATTCACCAAGACCACTTATCCAGTATAGTCAGTAATTTTAGTTTTGAAGGAATGATTGGTCAAATTGAGTTTGTGAGATATGCCAAAAATGGCTGTCAACTTAATATAAAATTTGTTTATTTATTTTAGCGTTTGAGAAAAGTACACGTATTTTCATAGATATAATTCAAGGCGGAATACAGGAATGTACTGTGAAATACTTTATTTTCGCTTGGAATTAATTTTCGCTATTTTCAGTGGAAATAAAATCCAGCGAATATACTTTTTTTCCTATATTTCACATTCAACTCATCAAAAATCAGTGAAAATAAGTTCCATACAAAACACCCAAAAAACCTTTTCAGCGAAAATTAATTCCAGCTAAAATAAAGTATTTTACAGTAGTCAGTAATTTCAGTTTTGAAGGAATGATTGGTCAAATTGAGTTTGTGAAATATGCCAAAAATGGCTGTCAACTTAATATAAAATTAATTTATTTAAAAAAAAGTAGCGTTACAGAAAAGTACAGGTATTTTCATAGATGTAATCTTGATTGTTATCCCTATACTAATTAAGAATTCTTGCTAATTTATCCTATTTTTAGATTCTATCCGGTATTTATCCAATAGCCCAAGTACAAGAACCATACTCAGCTGTGGGTTATTTAGCACAAAGAATACCTTTATCATGTATATTAAAATTAAAACACCCCAATGAAGATACTACAGAGCGAGGTGCATGTGCGCCACAGTGGTCAGCTTATGATATATGTGATGGTAAGTCACAGTAGCAGAATTTGTAGACTCATTTTTAGTAGAAATGAGTATTAGTATTGCATTCAATGTTATGATTTATCGCAAAAAAAAAAAAAAAAAAAAAATAATTTGTTGGCTGCCAAATACTTATAACATAATTGGTGATTTTCCGTTCAACTGCGAGATCTTGCGAGATGCATGAAAGACGTGCGTCAAACGTCCGCCGCAAAAATCGAACGATTTGATTTTGAACTCAAATTTCTTTTTTTTTGGGGGGTTTTTTTAATTACTAAACTCAAATTTCTTTAGTTTGTAGCGCACATCGACCGGCCGATCTTCGACAGAGGAATATTGCTTTTGAATACCCTCACTTAATCGAAATTGTCTATCATCAAATGAGTACACCACATTATTAAGCATGGAAATGCCACCCAAAATATTTTCGCGTTTGTCGAATCCCACATGATGTTTGACGCCACTACGACGCTATGACCTTTATTTGTCCTGTTTTTACATTTGATTTCACCCATAACGCATGATTCTCGCAGTGAACGGAAAATGGTCTATTGTAGTTGTTTGTACTTATAGGTCAATTTTGAATATGTAAAAAAGATACTTCTGTGTTTGCCACCTAAATAAGTGTGCTTATATTGAGTACAATCTTACTCTAAGGTTTTCAAAAAAATGCAATAATGAAATAAAACTGCATTTCATGGCATACATGCAAGTTTTGTTAGATTGATTTTTATCTGAGAATTATTATTGTAACATTTTCAATTTGTAATAGTTTTGCGAGTTAATCATCACAATATATTCCTTTTTTCAGCATGGGCTGAAAAGCGTGGATTCATAACAGCTAAAGCTGGTAGAAATGATACCTACCGAGCTGCTAATAATATATTAAGACTGGCAGTCGAAGGCAGACTAGTATTATGCATGTCACCCGTTGGATATACCGCTGAGAAAGGTATTGAATTAACATATACACAACAATCACCAACACTTGTTATTGCAACTTATTGACCATTTTAACATATTTTAAAAAAAAACATAATTGAATAAGACTAATAATAATAATATTTATTTGCCATAGATTGTAAGTATTACAGGGAAATAAATAACTAAAGTAAATAAATACAAGCAAATTATTTAAAATATGTAAAATAATAATAATAATAAAATTTTCAATAATCTATGGCAGGGAAACAGAAATTGCACAATATGACTTGTAGCTAATTTGGAGTTATCTTTGTTTGAAATTTTAAAAAATGTGGCAAACTTTGATAATTTCATTTCAAAGACAGACTATTTTTTGAGGGATAACCACTGATTAAAAATATATATGTATATAAATAGAATGGATTGCCTGAGTGCCATCATAAACAAATTTTACGTTTCTTTTTTGTTTCAACGACCAGCAAATTATAAAACACTACGCTACTTTAAATAGTTAAGCTGTCATTTGTTCTGAGCAACTATGAAAGTTAACACGACTGAAACCTACATAAATACAATAAATAGAAAAGATTAATACAATGTCATTGGAGGTATGGAGATCATAATTTCAAGTAGAAACCATGATATCAAAATAGAATAGTTTAGCTACTATGTAAGTACTGAATGTACAAAGTACACAATAAACTGAATCATGCCTCTCAATAGACTCAAGTCGACGCATAGAGACTTCTATTTTTCATGAATATAAATAAATAACATCTAATGCGAGTCACAGAAATAATATTGCACTAGAGTAAAGCGTATATAAACTCACCCCAACCAGTACAATTCAGTGACGCCCTATATAATTACATAGTTTCTTTTTACACGCAAACACACCTACAATAATTTAGAACAAATAAACGAGTCGTGATAACTGCTAAACATGAATCATAACCTTTCGCACATTTAAACAGTGCCACAAACTCGGACCAGTTCTCATTTAGAAAAACTACAATTCCACAAATATATACACAAATATTACATAAATATTACGCAAATACAATAAGAAAAATGAACAATTCATAATAAGTTTATGTATCCCGAATAACTAATTACCACTATGAACAAATGTAATGGGCTTTCAACGTTGTTCTGTACAAACAATGGGTACACGTGGCGTACACGCTCCTACTCATGTTTTACAAGTTAATGAAATATACGATGTTTACACTAAATTTGCTACAAAATACGTTTCAAATATTAGCTGTCATCTTACCGAAAGTGAATTCATAAACGTGGAAAGTAGATGGGAAATACTGCACGGGTTGTCGTCCCTCAGTGGTTTCAAAACGATGCTCATACCGCAAATCTCAGTGACCAACTGACTGGATGTCAAGTTGAGCACCACTGCGCATGCACAAAGTAAATTACAAGGCTAATTAGAATGTTAGTGCATTTGACCTGTCACATTTGTATCATACGATCTGCAATTTCCTTCAGAAGATTGGGACAAAAACAGCTACATTTTTTGAATAAAAACCAAGAATTGACTAAAATTTTGTGTTGGCTCAAAAATTGGAATTCATTCCCAGAAATATTGAAAAATATCAGAAAAATATGCAAAACAAATTTGGTGGTGAAAAAGGTTAATGATCGAAACAACTGCAGTCATGTGACTTTTAACATTTGACGATTTTCACCAGCTCATAAAATTCACAAAAATTTATCTCATGGAAGTAAAATGGTTTACTGATTATTGTTAAATACAATACTCTAAAATACTTTATTTTCGCTTGTAATTAATTTTCGCTGAAGGAATGATTCAGTGAAAATAAAATCCAGCGAATATACCTTTTTTCAACTTGTCAAAAATCAGTGAAAAATAAATTCCATACAAAATACCCAAAATGTCTTTTCAACGAAAATTAATTCAAAATAAAATAAAATATTCTACGGTATTATAGATAAAAGATTTGTCTTATTTGTTCACAGCCAAATGGGAGAGTCATCCTGAGACTAAATATATAGCAGCTTTACAGGAACAACACAGAGAATTACAATTGGAAGACGAACAGCAATCTGATCTATCTCGAGACTTTACGAGTTCAGAGGGCGATAGTGACGCTGATGTGGAGAGTGAAGTAGATAGTGATAGGAAGTCACTAGGGGCGGATAGAGCCAAAAATATTGGTTTCTTTTGTAGTAATCCCTTCTCTGCTCTGTCTTGAAATTGGTGTTAATTTTTATGTTCCAGTAGCCGGGCATCTGACATTTCATTGGGGGGGGGGGGGTATGATACTGTAAAATACTTTATTTTCACTTGGAATTAATTTTTGCTGAAGGAATTAATGATTCAATAAAAATAACATTCCACTCATCGAAAATCAGTGAAAATAAATTCCATACAAGACATCCAAAAAGTTTTTTCAGCAAAAATTAATTCTCACTTATTAAAATAAAGTATTTTACAGTACTGTAAAATCTGCATTAGGAACAGCTGCTTCTATTAAAATGGTACAATGCAACAGAGGGGATGCGGCTTCTATTAGAGCATCTACACATATTAGAAATGATGAATTTTTGGTTCTCAATTATTCAAATAGGATGGATGCAACTTCTATTAGGGATGCGGCTTCTAATACAGATTTTACGGTAATACTAAAACCTAGAGCAGTGGACGGTTCAGTACTTGACTGATATACCAGTACAATGGACAACTTCAGTCTTGGCTCTAAACCCAGATATCACAAGTCTGTAAATATGTGCAGTAATGAAGTCCAGTGAAAATACTTTGTCTCTTAGATGTAACATTTAATAATCAAAAACAGAAATCCTGAAATTGCAGGTTTCATTAAAAAATAAATTCTGGCTACAATAAAATGATCTTGATTACTCAAAGAGACTGTTGAGTCTCGGCATTCAAGTTTATAATAGTTCTTTCTAATTTCCTTTTCATGAATGAAGGAAAAGTTATATTTATACGACACAAGGTCACTATGCAATTTTTAGAGGATGTACATGTTTATCCGGAAATATAGAATAGAAAATCTGTTGGTTTCAGCTGTGTTCGATTATGTGATGTGCAGACTCAGTCAAAGTTGGTTACAGTGTACCATGCTAGCACTTTACAATGTGTATGGTCACCAGCGGTTAATAAATAATACCTGGTATCAGAGGTACATTACTTGGGGTTTGCAACTCGCATAGTACTGTATGGTGACATCATGTCAAGATCCCATTCAAGTCTCTTCTCGTAGATAGCGAGACTGAGGCTACAACCTTATGACATGACGCATATCAATGTTCAAGGTTTGTAATGAAAAAAATAAACTTTTCTTGTCACCATCATAGTGAAAAATGTAATACATCGAAAATGTGCAGAAAATATAGTTCTCGTAATCCGTCATATCGTGAGCAGCTATTTTGATCCACCTGGACATCCCAGTATCTTAGTTACCTCGGGCATGCGCATTCGCATTTTTTCTGAGTTGGAACGCTTATGCGAGAGCGAGATTGTGACGGGATCTTGGTATCATGTCACCGTAGTTACAAACCCCAAGTAATGTACCTCTGCTGGTATATATAATCTGCATATTAAAAAAAAACTGTTGGTAATAAATAGACATAAAAGATCAAGTTTGTAGTTATTGGAAAACTGAATTGTGAAGTCAATATGTCCAATAATCAAAAGTGGTATGATAAAATATAATTTGAGATTTACATTTTTTTGTTTCTCGTTTTGTATCGCACTCTCCATGGCACGCAACTAACTCCACTGACAATTTAATTGAATTATCTCATGCTCTAGTTGTGTTGATGACAGTTGATTGTATTGTTTTAATTAATTTGTAACTTGATTTGGAAATAAATCATTGCCCGATCCGCTGAATATACTAGTTTCTTGAGCATGTCCTGAAATTTGATATAGTCATGTGACAGATTTTTTTCTCTACTTGACAACTAAATTTGTGACACTTATTGTCCATTAATAAAGTTTCTTATAATTTTTAATGACTGAATTATTGCGATTTTTCATGGCTAGCTGCGAGTCTGTTTAGGTACTACTGATGTGTACTGTAGAATACTTTATTTTTGCTTGAAATTAATTTTCGCTATTTTCGTTGAAGGAATGATTCAGTGAAAAATAAAATCCAGCGAACATACCTTTTTTCCTATATTTTACATTCAACTTGTCATAAATCAGTGAAAATAAATTCCATACAAAACATCCAAAATGTCTTTTCTGTGAAAATTAATTCCAGCTAAAATAAAGTATTTTACAGTACTCATCTTTGTGTTTCACTATTTGGTCGGGTTACTGTAAAACCTAATTTTACTGGCATTTAATTTCACTATTTAGATGTTTTGAGTAATTTCACTGGGTTTTGAGTTTATGAACTTAGCAGCGAAATAATGAGTTCCATTGTTATTTTTCATGCTTATGTGGATTTAATTAAGCGAATTTTACTTATCAGAGAAAACCATTGAATAATTAATGCATTTACAGTACTTGATTAATTAAGGCAACCTTTGACCTCAGATTGTATAAATTGTATCAAGTATTCCATTCTGATTATCGAAAGTGATTTTCCCTAGATGACAATATAAATATTTGGTTTTGTATTATTATTAAATTCAAACATTCAATTATTGTTTGTATCACAGTTACTCCCAAGTAGTCATTCAAATTGAGTCAATAGCAAAAAACTTTTCCGAATGTCACAATAATTTTGATAAAAATTCAAAGCTTGCATTGGCCAAAGCACAGATACCACTGTCATTCATAATATTTGACATTTGCCTAAAAAAATCCAAAACATGATCTGAAAGTAATTTCAAGATTTTAAAAAACCTTTATAATTGATTATTTTTGACAGTGATTAATTAGTAACTAGGAGTATCGTCCCTTCTATGACATTTAGCCGTGTCATAGATGTAAGGAGATTTTAAAATGCCGCAACTAGAAACAGTGATTTTTTACATGTAATTGACACAATCAAATTCATAATTAATAGAAACAGAAAAATTACTTTCTCTAAAAACAGTGTTGGTATCATAAAAGATATCAAAATTGGGAGAGTGAGGCATAAATGTATTGATTTAATTTTACATAAATTGCTACCTGGAGTCCCAAAAAAATGATAACCGGACACACAACAAAAACCAATGCTTGACAGATAAAATGTGGAATCCTTTAAAGTGCGGTGTTCGTCGCGTAGTGTGTATTCGAATTTCATGTAAATAAACAATGTATTTGACATGCGTTATATACGTCGCTATGAGTCCCATATCGAACAGGACGCAGCGCGACGACTGCTGCTCTTTCAATTTTTTTTTCTAACTTGCAAAAGTCACAAACCACTGTAGGTTAGAAGAAACACTGGTAATAGGTTCAATTTAGAACTCTTTTTGTTCTTCTCATGAAGTTCTTCTCTTAAAGTGTTGAATTTATGCAATTTATTTTGGTTGTGAGCAATTCTCTAATTGGTGCAAGCTTGCAATATGATTTCTATTTGTGGGGATGCGGTTTGTGAGAGATTTGTGAAAAACTTATTTTTAACTGCCAGTGGTCATTAATGTAAAAACAACTTGTGTCCAGTGACCCCATTCCAGTTTTTGAACACTCAAAACAAAACACCTTTCCTATACCTCGCACCTTCTCGTGACAAAGCACTTCAATGATGTCAAAATGGTTTGTAACCAGCACTGACTTTCAAATAGTCATGTAGTGGTCATTTTTAGCTCGGCTGTCGACTTTGTCGAGCGGAGCTTATCATATGAGTGATTGTCCGACGTCTGTGTCCGGCGTCCGTGTCAATGTTTTACTTTTTCGACTTCTTCTTGAAAACTACAAGCCTGAATGCTTTGATACTTGGTGAATATGTACCTTGGGTAGACCTCTCTCAGATTTGTTCATTTCATGATCATATCTTCAATTCTCTAATTTTGGTGAATATTTTTGTCATTTTTGGTAAAAAGTGATATTTTCGACTTGTTAAAAACCGCAAGTCCAATTGCTTTGATATTACATATATAGGTACTACATGTGGACCACTCTCAAATTTGTTCATTTTGTAATGATATCTTTAATTCTCTAATTTTGGTAAATATTTTTGTCATTTTTGGTAAAAAGTGATATTTTCTTCTTGTTAAAAACCACAGTCATTTATGGTTAAAAATTATATTTTTGAATTCTTGTTGAAAACAGCAAGTCCCATTGCATTGATACTATGCATATTGTTCATTTTCTAATGATATCTTCTGTTCTTTAATTGAAATGTGCATTGCTAACAGCGGAGCTATCTCAGCCGAGAGGCTGCTTGTTTTTAGATTACCATGGAGCAAAATTTTGATTTTGTGAGGAGCTTCATCACACATATTTATGAACCCCATAATCTCTAATATTTTAGTTACACCCACTGACTTGTACAGTCACCAGTTTATGGCCTTCAGTGTTCAGCCCTCTAACACCATCTTGTTCAAGTCTTCAGTTGCCAATCAGAGCTTTTGTTACAGGCTGCTTAATACAATGTACATGTAGTAGCATTTTAGTAAGCTGAGTTTTAATTGGTTGACAAATCCTGTCAGAGGAAAGCTGTTGAATTTTATTTGCATTGTACACCAGCCGCCATAATATAATCTGGTCATTGCAAACAGAACTTTTACCTACCATACATTTTAATCAGATTGTATACACGCCATTTGTAAATTAAGTGAGTTAGTATACTAGTAGGTAATTCACTGACAGTAGCAATTGTTTAGAACTATACTACTGTGGTATGTGAAGAATACTTTGGGAACATGTTTTAGTGCAATAGGTGTTCAATAAACTAATTTTTAATGATTAAGCTGGATTTGTGTATTTATTATGCAATAGTTCTTGTTTCTACTTTCTCGGGATGGGGGAATGACTCGCACTCGCCCCCTTGATTCCATGTGTGACTGACTAGGGTAGATGACAGTGGGCCAGTGGTCAAATTATCCTCATGCTTGTTTTTCATCTATGCCTGCAGATAATAAAATAAGGTGATAGCTCTTCATATTCAGTAGATTTCTGTAATTTACCCCAAAAAATGAAAGTTGTTTGCAAAAAAAAAAAACCTGAAGAAAATTTAGCATATTTATAAGAGGTAAAGAAACGTTTTATAGCCTCCTTCTACCATAATAATTTACCACTAAAAATGTATGTAAGCCCTTTAAGCCCTTTATAAATTACCAGTACATATAATGAACAAATTAGAATGCTCTGAGACGATGTGCATACCTAGTTCGTTTTGTGTAAACATCCATAGATATTAATTACTGTGGAATACTTTATTTTCGCTGGAATTAATTTTTGCTGAAAAGGCTTTTTGGGTGTTTTGTATGGAATTTATTCTCACTGATTTTTGATGAATTTAATGTGAAATATAGGAAAAAAAGTATATTCGCTGGATTTTATTTTCACGGAATCATCCAATCAGCGAAAATAGCGAAAATAAATTTCAAGCGAAAATAAAGTATTCTACAGTACCTAATTTACTTAATTGAGGCTGATGTCCGGAAGCTGGGCTATACCTGGGGAGAAGTGGAAAAACTGGCACAGGACCGGCCTGGTTGGAGCAATCTTGTTGGTGGTCTATGTCCCAAGAGGGATGATAGGCATAACTTCACATAATTAGTAAATTTTCGGCTTTTCTGCTGATATTTCAAGTACTACTCATTACATTTCAATGTAAATTAGTATAGAGATGCTCTATACACAGAAGTGTTTGGGGGGGGGGGTCTGTGCATATTAACTTGAATCACCAAATTTGCCAATTTTCGGCTTTGCCACTAGTCGTCAAATTTCAATAGTAGTATTCAAGCGTAGGTACTTAGCACGGGCTAAGAGGTCAAATACATTAGCCCGTGCTAAGAAAATTATCTTTGTGAAAGCTTAGAAGGGACTAAAAAATGCTAAGTACGGATGAAATCTGGCCTGTTTTCCAGACCCTTAGCACGGGCTAACGAAGTGTGCGTGGACGCTTGATGCGGGCTAAGCGGGGAAAAAGGTATTTTATTTACTATTTACAATGTTTTTTTTGAATTATATTCAAATTACATGTAGTCATTTCGGCATGCCATTTCCGACATGACAATCAACACGAGCACACCTAGGGAAATTGTTCTTGATAAAGAAATAGATGAGTCTAGCTGCCTACCATCTGTTATTCTGCAGTCTGCATTTTCTGAATTTGTTTTGGTATTGTTCCAGAACCGTAGAGTATTCCTAGTTAAAATGACTGAAGATTTGTGTATATTCTTACAAAGTTTGGGCGTTCCTAAGTCCATGCTAACCACCGTTTGCCCCCTATCTGACATGCAAACATACGAGATTAGCTTAAATCATAGCCCGTACTTCGTATAGCACGAACACTGCTATAAAACTATATAGATACTCTAGGACAATGCACAGATCTGCTAATTTGTTGGTTAAAATCTGTTCATATTAATTAGCTAATCTGCCTAATAATTATTAATTTTTAGTTTAGTACTTAAGATCTTATTTCAATGAATCTTGGTGCATAAATAATTTAAGATTTAGTGAGAGAACTATAGATGATGAGTCTGTATATTCTGTAGGAGATAAACAATTTAAGAAGAGTGTGAGAGATACGATGGAGCTGTTAACGGTCACTCTCAGGCTGAACTACCTTTTTGATATACGAATACAACAAAGTGGCGAATCCAGCAAAATGTATGGGGGGGGGGGGTCCAAGCTTCGCTTAAGATATACGGAGCGTAAATCGGAGAGAAGCTATGCATAATCCAGATGATATGAATCGTCATGCGTTTGGGAGGGGCCATGGCCCCTGGCCCCCCTCTGGATCCGCTACTGAAACAACAGGTGCGTGGAG